TCTAATTATAACAGTTGTTCTGAATTTACACAAATATTGCATATGGAAAATGATATAGTTAAGAGAAGACGGTTCATGAGAATGTCGAAGATGCAATGTTTATTGTGTATGCATCAAGACTCATGAGCTTGTAGAAAGAACAAAAATAAACAATAAATAAAGTTTGCTGATGCCTTTCATTTTGTTATAGCGCAATAGTTTTTCTCGAAAAACTTTGCTATTTGGTCTTGAGAGTAATGAGTCAAGCTAACTATGATTGCCACGTTAACTCTAAAAGATTTTGATCCAATGACTTTGACCTATTATCTATTCTAATGGTTGGAAGATCCCTTGGCAGTATAAAAGAATAAAGTTTAGACGAATGTTGTTGCACAGACTGCATGAAGTAAATAGAGAATATTTTTTTAGTTTGCTATTGAATTAAACCATTGCTCATCTCACTCAAAGCAGTCTCGACTTAAGAACACTATATTGACTAAGATATTTAATGCTATGTTTCCAAAACCTAAAATGTAAACAATACAACTATTTCTTTTACCAATCTTCTAATAGTCAATAGTCAAGATTTTTTTTGACGAAAGTATTTTAAAATTGTCATCAACATGTCGTTTGTACGTCTTTATATGCAGTTATCATAGAGTAAACGGCTCTTGATAATTTCATATTATCTGTTGCAAAAGTCAACGTTAGAGAGAGAAAAATAAAATAAATATTACTATGGTTGCACAATAATAAAAAAATGTGTCAACTCATTTTCTTCCGTTTCTTATAATGCAGAATGTTTCTTTTCTCGGCACACATGTATATGTCCTTCAAAAAAATCAATTGTAACAATGGCATCAATATTTTTATGTTTACTATTTCTTCATAGCAAAGTAGTCTACTGACAGTAGTGACAAGTTTTTACTACTTTTCAAAACTACTATTTTAGAAATGACAGCTCGCCAATATATTCCAACAGGCTCCGTATTAATACCTATTGATTTAACTCTCAAAATCCATGCTCTTCTCGATGCAACATCTTCAATATCAACTTCAAGAAAAAGAAATCGACCAATTTCAGCAACATTTACAACATATGACCGTCATAAGACTACTGTTGATCTCAATGTATGCAAACCATTATTAACATCACATAATAGACAAATATCAAAAGAGAAAGAACAAGCAAATATTGTAGATTTAATTATTATTTGGCTTGATCAAAATATTAATCATATGGAAGAAAATATTTCGAAGAGAAAAAATCATCTAAGTCAAATAATTAATTGCTTGAAAACTTTCAATGATACTAATCAATGTCTTCATTATATTAAAAGTATTAAAGAAGAAAAAATCTTTTTGATCTCGTCTGGTTTATTGGGAAAGACTATTATCAATGAATTGAATAATTGTCCACAAATCTTCTCTATTTACATATTTTGTTCTAATGAACGTGAACATGAATTTTGGTCAAAAAATCATTCAAAAATTATGGGTATTTTTACCGATGAACATGAACTAGTTACACAAATAACAAAAGATGTTTCATCATTTTTTCGAAATGATCTTGTAGTAAGTGTGATTAATTCAGTCGATACAAGTGAAAGATCTACTCAAGATTTGACAAAAGATCAAGCCAAATTTATGTGGTCACAAATACTAATCGAAATATTAGTTCGTTTACCTCAAACGACACGATCAAAAGATGAATTAATTCAAGAATGTCGACGACATTATCAAAATAATAATTATCAACAAAAAAAAATAACGGAATTCGAAAAAACTTATAATTCATCTGATGTTCTTTCATGGTATACTCAAGATAGTTTCCTGTATCGTATTGTAAATAAAGCTTTACGAACACAAAATATACTATATATATTTAAATGTCGATTTTTCATTATTGATATGTATCAACAATTGACAAAGATCCATCGAAAATTCTTAAAAACAACAAAAGAAAAAGTCATAACAGTTTATCGAGGACAATTGATGGCAGCAGACGAATTTACTAAACTTAAAAATAATATAAATGGTTTCATTTCGATTAACACCTTCTTTTCCACTAGTTATTCAAGTACAGTAGCTTTTGAATTTGCCGGTGATGGATCTCGACGTCCAATGTTTGAATCGGTATATTTTGAAATAGAACTATCTTTGAATATTAGTGCACTACGGTTTGCTAATATGAACACTGTTAGTCAGTTTGGATCGGAAAATGAACTTCTTCTCTGTATGGGAACTGTCTTTCGTATTGAAACTATAGAACTATTGAATGATTTTCTCTGGTACGTTAAATTAGTTTTAGTTAGTGAACATGAAACGGCAAAATTAAATCATCTGAAACAATATTTAATGAAAGAGGTTAATAATGCTTCAGGTTATTTAGCATTAGGAAAAATTTTACAAGACATGGGTGAATATGATAAAGTACAAACTTATTATGAATTATTATTAGCCGAACTTCCATCGAATCATCGTGATATACCAGCAATTTATAGTGGTTTAGGATCAGCTATACTGTCAATGCAAAAAAATTCAAAACTTGCATTAAATTATTTAAGAAAATCGCTTACATTACAACTCGAAGCATTTCCAAATAATATTCTTCTATTCACTCAAACTCTCAATTGTATTGCTGCTATTTATGCTGAACGTCGAAAATTTAAATTAGGATTGATTTTATACCGATTTATCTTAGAAATACTAGATTGTATTCCAGTAGAAGCAAAAAATACTCAAATTCTTAAGAAACGAGCTGAAATATGTAATAATATTGGATATATTTATTCAAAAATTGGTCAACTATCCTTATCATTGAAATATTACAAAATTTCACTGGCAATCGATAAAAAAATTCTACCTTCTAATCATCCAAGCATTGCTTTATCACTCAACAATATTGGAACACTTTACTTGAAAAAATTCAACTCTAAAACTGCGGAAAAATATTTGCAGGAAGCAAATGCTATTCGACAAGAATCTCTGCCATTTGAATATCATCCAGATCTTGCACAAATGTATAATAATCTCGGAACGGCGGAGTATCATCGAGCGAATTTCGACAAAGCATTAGTTCATTTTGAAAAAGCACTAGAAATTCAATTGAAATGTTTGCCTCCTGTTCATCCTCATATAGCTATGCTTTATAATAGCATAGGCAATATCTATTTCGAAAAAAAAGATTATCAAACAGCCCTTAAAATGTATGAAAACTCCTTGAAAATTGGTCAACAATGCTGGCCACCGTTTCATCCTGAAATAGGCGAAGCTCATGGAAATATTGGTTCTGCTTGTCGATGTTTGGGAAATTATGAGAGAGCACTAAGTAGCTGTGAGAAAGCATTAGAAATTGCATTGAAATCCTTACCTTCAACTCATTCAGATCTAGCAGAAGCTTACCGAGCTATTGGGCGAGTGTACCACGATACTAACAATCATCCAATGGCTATGTCAAACTTCCAGAAAGCGATGAATATTTACATCAAAAACCCACCCATAAATCAAGGTTACCTGAGCACGTTGTATGAAGAACTTGGTAGCGAATATTATGACCAAAACTACTACCAAGAGGCACTTAGATGTTTACAGAAAGCATTAAACATATATCAGGCTAACAAAGAAGAGGAATCTTCACTTACGATATTGTATTATCATCTTGGAAAAGCATATTATCAAAACGGCGAATATAAAAATGCTCTATTGTATTATAATAAATGTCTTCATATTGAATTGACAACTACATCAAAATCCAATTTCCAAAGTCTTTCGCAAACATACAATGCCATCGGAGAAACCTATCAAAAGTTGAACGATAAACAAATGGCATTAAACAACTATACAAAAGCACTTAAAACTATTCTACAAGATGAGTCATTATCGATATGTAGTGACAGTACAAATCTTATTGAAAAATATCAAAAGAATATTCAAATAGTTAAAACTCTAATATAAAAAGAAAAACTCTTTCTATCTTTTTTGTTTATATGATGTCTATTCGAAAAACCTGAGGAAACATGATTATCGATGAGTTTTTCGTCGCCAATATTTTAGTGATTCATTGAATTGTTTCTTATAAAAGCTGGATGGCAGCACAAATATAATGAATATAATAACTGATGGAATGAACGATACCAAATAGCCTGAAAGATATAACCATGGATTGCGCGACTTTTTTTATTCACGCATCCGGGCAATAAAGAAATAATCAGACGAGGTAACGAAAGTATAACTATAGAATGATAGAACTAATAAAAAAGGTTGTTTATGATCATTGAATTATTCACGAAGATGTTGTCGAAAGATTTGTTGAGCTCGAATCAATGTTTATTGATGAGCACCTTTCAATATTATGTAAAGAGTCGAGAAGAGATTCGCACAAAATGGACCAAGAAAATGAAAGAACAAGCTACGCTGTATTGTAATATTGGACATGGTATGAGTAATGAGTTACACACAATATGCATTATTCTTCATTGTCGTCAAACAAATCACGATAGAAAAACTCGTAAATAATACTAAACAGAATGAAGAATGGTAAGAAGACAATGATAAATTGAGCAATACGTTTGTTCAGCATCTTATTAAAGCTGACTCCTTTAAATACGGTCATTAATCTTTCAATAGTCACACAAGCATGTAGCCAATTATCCATGTATGAAAACAATTTCAGAGTAGGTTCAATAAATATACAACCTGCACGAATGACAGGACGATGAATTAATGTATTGGTTTGAGTAAAAACGAAAAAATCAGAATTTAACTATAAACATAATCAATGTGGATAGAGAAGTAATTGATGATGCAAGAAGATATATTCCACAACCAACTTGTTGTGAAATTTGACTCTGAAAGATCAAAAATGATAAAAGACTATTGATCAAAACTGCAGTTAACATGATCATCGTAAGAATTGTGCTGAATTTAATGACAAATGGTTGATTGTTAAATTTCGTGTTCGGTTGTATTTTGTAACGTGACATATTATCAAATGTTAATCTTATACCTTTAGCATAAAATTAACATCGATCACCGAAGAAACAATCAGTACAAACACATATTATTGTCAATGGACAAGTAGGAATATCTTCCAAACATTCTGCTCCGTTTTGACATGTGAGATTTAAATGATGATCGAATTTAAAACAATTAATATGACGTTCGAATGTAAACAAACACATGAATGATTCATTGAAAAAACATATCAAATCTTGATAATTTTGACCTAATCTATAATAAAATTTCATTCGTCGAATTTTCGGTAGTATAAATTGTTGAAATTCTAAAAGTTCTTCGATCGGAGCACATCGTTGTGTTGGATTGATTGAAGTAGAAATATTTTCTGGTGTGAATTCTTGAAGAGCAGCTAAAAAATTAACTCGATAGATCTTGATAAACACAATTTAATACTTGTACCATAAATACAGTGTTGTAGTACGTTGGAAGATCGATAGTTTTTGTAGTATAATATAGTTTGATAATTGACCAGAAATTATCGAAACAATATAATACAATAGATATGACGGAACTTCGATATCATGAAGAGAAATGTCTAATTGCTTCATTTTTAAATTACATTGTGGTTCATAGAATTGTTCAGAACAAATACAAACATATCTATTCTTGTTTATTGGTTCATCGATTACAATACAATGACCATGGTTTTTGCAGAAATTTCTCGGACATAAATCTGTCAATAAACAACGTGAACTAACTTTATTTAAAGGGCATAAACAGATAGATCGATTATTAATTGAACCAAGACAAATCGAATCTGATGAACAATCATCACAACGAATAGGTATGTGACAATGAACACCGGACCAACCTGAATGACATCGATAGAAAAATTTCATTGCTTCATTATTATATTTCATACACTGATCATGATCACATGGAAGAGGACAATAGACGGGACTGGGTGCTTGATGTGCTGGTACAGTTAGTATGATAGCCATTCGATTGACAGGTAGAAATAGAAATGGAATTTTCAAATATCAACTTGCAATATATGTCAATGACATCTTATCGTATGCATCAATACGAATACTATAATTTTTTGAATCGTTCTTCGATCGTTTGGAATACAAGAGATAAATGTTGTGTATCTCCTGACAATTGGAATTTGGTACGTATATAGACTGATAATAGGAATTGATTGGTTGTTGTACATTGTCATCGTTATCATCGATTAGACTAACAACTATGCCATAAATACCATGTCGATCGATTGTTTTCAATTGCAATGTAAGACTAACTCGTTGATTTTGATATTCACACTGATCGCCATAATAATTCCGTGGACAAAAACATATATATTTTTTATTATTATGATTATTTTCGAATCGATAACGAACATAGAGACCTCGATTACAATACCGGGCCATACGGAATCATAAGACGTAGATTTAATGTCATGTGCCAATGGATGTCGTTCCATGTTGTAATCGTTTATTTTATTTTCAAGCGGAGGATGTTTTGGTGATGTTTGCAATGAAAAGTTGATCTGCTTCAAAGTTGAACTATGACACGGAGTTTTCTCGACATCTGTGCGTTCAAAGAAACTATTCATGTCGCATATGTTACTATGATTTCCACAAAAAGCTTCGTCATCATTGAATGGACAATCTGAATAAGAATTACACAGATAAGAAGCTCCGAGACACGTAGTATCATTCAAACAGTGAAAATTATCTTGAAGTTAAAATAGATCTATGAAATATGTTCTCTACGATGCAGGGCTCATGCTGCTGCTATGAATATAGATCTGTTCAAAAGCGTTTTAACTGATAATATCTTGTGTTCTCTAGATAATCTCTACTATTCACAGATTATGTCGTTACTAGAACGTGAGAGGGAGCATTTGAATATTAAATATCATTCGCTTTTTTAACTATTTGTAATGGTATATATTGTGGCATATGGTACGATTTAACACGACTATGATCGACTCTTCCCATCGTTTACATATATTTCAATGATCTTGAAGATATTACACAAGTGAATGATTCACATTTTGATACTAAAAACTTTGACTGTGTGTAGTCCCAAGTAAGATGTAAAAATGCCAAAAAGTTTCTCTTATGAAACTGTTCTCCGATTAAGATATTGAAATCACAATGAAAGCACTTCCAGGTAAAAAATAACGATAACCAATGAAGTCTTCATTGATTGCATTTTCCGCTATTATTCAACATCAATGATTTATTAGGCATGCAATTTTGTGAATATATACTAGCGTAGATACACTACATAATGATACAATTAAAGCTACTATTCTACGTATTGCACTATACTTTCTCACATTTTGCAGCAGAAGTAAGTAATTAGTCAATACGTACTGCTAAATTTTAAATGGTATTTCTTGTACTTTTACTGAGTACATGATTTCGAATCCTAATCAATCCGAGTAATTGATCCAGGAATATATTTCATGGTTCTAAAAAAAATAGCTACCACTTTTCTGAGTATAAAAATTAAAGTTTTTTTTTGAGGAAGTTTCTATCAAATAATGAAAACTATAATCGGTAAATAAGCGTTGTTTTTTAGTTTATTTATTATTAATACATCCGCATGAATATTATGATTATGAATAAATTTACATTTGATTTTAGTAGAGATATATTGTTTTTATGCGATGATGACGGAATAAAAGCAAATTGAGAATAGGGGTTCTAGTTATTTATAGATATTTGTGAGTGTTTGCAGGATTTAGGAAAATGAGTTCTCTTGTTTTAATTGTTCACTTTCCATGAGAGATTTTGTTTTCAATAGCAGTATATATATTTGTTCTTGATTATTTATCATTTTTAAAATGACAATAGGATTTGATAGTTGCTTCATAATACATATATCTTTATCCATAGATCCAACGGCTAATAGCAGCTAAATTATCGATGATTACTTGTATTTTAACACCAACGGTAACACAGACAAAATCATTCAGATAAGCATTTCTTGTATAGTAACCTGATATACATGTATGACCTGGTCGACTACGTGATGAAGCAGCTGCATTATCGGCTGATGTTTGTCGTCTTGTTGCTGGTGTTACACATATATAATCATAATCATCAGCTTCTCGCCAAACAAATCCATTTTGACATGTCAATGGTCCATAGACAAAACGACTTGGATTTCGACGATTAGCAGCTTGATTATTATCATTTCGTGCTTGAGTTCGAGTTTCAGGTAATACACATACATGATCGTTAGAAGAATAAGCTTCTCGCCAAACATAGCCTTGCTTACATGTATCTACACCATAATCTCCGCCTAATGGATTACGACGTGAAGCAGCAGCAGCATTGTCTGCCCATGTTTGACTTCGTATTGTTGGTGTAACACATACATGATCGCTTGGTATTGCTTCACGCCATACATAACCTTGAAGACAACGATCTGCAATATTACTTTCAATATGAACAGAAACAGTTCGTGTTCGAACATTGATTACACCAGTTGTAATTTTAACATTGTTCATATTCATAGATGCAACAGGATCACGTGTTGATGTACCACGTGTTCGAAGAAGATATGAATGATAAATTTTATCAGCTGAATTGTATTGGATTTCATGTATGAATACATAATTTCGATCGAATCCAGCATCCCACTTTTCTTTGAAACGCATTTCAACAAGATAGTAATGTTGATAATTCGATGGATCGAATGGTATACGTATCAACTGTGGATAACCGGATGCTGGATTCATAAGTGTCGTTAAAGTCAATGTAATTGATGCTTCGCCTTTTGCTCCAAATGTATAAATACGATGAATTGGAATCCAACCAAGTCGTTCCAAACCATAGCCATTTAATCCAGGTGGAGCTGAACCATATTTGATTGTATGTGTCGTTTTGACATGAGCAACACTCATGAGATCCCATTCATCATCATACTCGCCAATTTGTGCCCACTCAATGTTTCTGTAAGTGGGATCATCGGAAAATGAATGAGCGAGACCATAGCCATGACCCATTTCATGAGCTACTAGTGATAAATCATTATCTTCGCCACAATAAACGCGTTTATTACTACCCCATAAGTCAATGCCTGGACTGGTAATAATTATGATGCGTGTCGTTGACGGTATCGATAGTTTAGAAGCTTTGACACAATCATCGAATCGTTGGTTTCTGGATTTTTTCACTTGCTGATCTTTTGTTTCACTTATTGTATACCAACCATTGACACTTGATGAACCAAAATTAATAAGACCATTTGATATATCATGCCAATAATCAGCCATACCTCCAGTGCCACGAATTAAAAATTTTTCTTTAATTGCTGCCGGTGTATATTTCGGCGTTGGACTGTCAGAAAATTTACATAGAATAATTTGCCATCTTGTTTGTCCTCGAACGCCATATCCATCAACATCATGAATAGGATAGAAGATAAAAAGTAGAATAATAAATATATTCATCATGTTATAAAAAATTTCTACAATGACAAAAAAAACAATCATCTAGTTAGATGCAAAACGAGCTTCTGTTCGACATAAATACAATAATCGTTATTATTAGCATATATATTCGAGCTTAGGTGACCTGAAATGAGGTATAATTGATTTGATTTTGTCCTAAACGGCAATATATTTAAATGTGTATGAAGAAACATATCAATTTTATATTTGCACACTAATATTCATCGTCCCATATTTCATTGAAAAAGCAATAATGAGCATTAATGTTTTTTTGAATAAGAACATATCAATAATACGATACCAAAATTAGAAACCATTCATGGTCTGATAGATTATTGATATTAAACATCAACAGTTCCTATGACTAAGTAATAGAGATAAGGTCTGTTTGATTTGAGGAACATGAAAAGCGATTCTGTATAGTTACTGGCTGAGTTTTATTTTTATATAAATTTTTGAAACATGTTCTCAGTTCATATTTCGAATCATTTCATTGTGAAGTGCGAGTGTTGATATGGCTGACTGACGAGAAGTTTTATAGGCACTAACATTCACATCCTTTTAAGAGCATGATGAATGGTTGATGAACTATATGACGAAGTAATTGAGTATATGAAGAGGAAAATGAATTATTGTAATGATAAATATGTATTAAGACGTTGGAAAAGGCATTCATATATGTATCCATAATTAGGATGTGTTACACGAATATTACATTCCATTCAGCATCATCAGCAACAAGCAAACGTATATTTAGCGACACTTTTAACTCTCTTGAAATGATTCTAGAGGAATGAAAAATTATGAACTATGACTAGAATTTTGTGATCTTTCCGAATATGGTCTCAAGAATTTTGTCTCTGCTTTTTCTCGAGAGTGCCGAGGGAATCTTTGAACGTGCTGAAAACTTATAGTGAGAGTGGCGAACAAACGTGTATTTGCTGCTCTCGTAAGTCTCTTTGCAAAGATGCTAAAAATGGTTGAATTTGATAATTTTGTACGGCAAACAATTTTTTACAAAATATGATGTCCAATTTAAATGTAAATCTTACATAAGTGAAACTATAAACCTTTTCACGATCGATTTTTCAAAAATGCGGTAGATAAACAACAACTTTTTAGGTGCCTCATCAGGACATCAAAAACAAAAGGGCAAATACCAATTTTGTAGGACCAAATTAGCTCTATACGCTGATATATGAAGAAAAGTTTCAACATTTAGTTTTGAATACCAATAGTGGAAACGTACGAAAAAAACTTCTGCTCAAACTAAATTTTTAATCCTTTCAAAAACTTGCTCACTACATCTGAGCAAAAAACCAGATACACAATTTCTGAGTTCATATTTAGAAAGAGCACAAGACTAGTTCTTATCGAAGTTTCATTGTTATGATATTAGTTGAAGAGTAGTCAAATAGAACAGAAGAATAAAGCATAGGTTTTTTTATCATCAGATAAAAAAAAGAAAATTTCTTTAAGCTTTCTATACAGAAATAAAGTACTTCCACTACTACTTTTGGCTTGCCCTAAGTGCCATGATACGAAAGTAACACTATACCAGATTAATGGTACTACTTGATGACAGAAAAATTCGCTTCATAGTGATGACTAAACAAGACCTTCTAAAGCAGGTGTAGTTTCAAAAGCACATACATTATTTCGTCGTATTGGTGCGAATTACAGTGTAGTTACGACTAAAATAATACTATATTGTATTGACACTGTTTTATATATGAGTAATTTATTGTATTGCCTATGTATATATACTTGACTTTTGTACGATTGTTTTTATGCATGACTTAACTAAGCATGATATTTCAGTGAGATATTTTTTTCTTTTGTAAACATAATACTGTCATTTTGCTTGTTCTATTCCGTATTAGACGATTAGCTTAATCAATGACAATAATAAATCCATCGATTGTTCGAATGAATGTGCACGAATGTCATGGATTCACTTTTTATTACTAATTCATCACACAGAACGCAAAAAAATAGCCAGGTTTTCATTTGCAATACATTATTGGTAAATAGTTTAATCATGGTTGTATCCAACTTCAAATATCATTTTAAACAGAGGCAGGCTCACTCCGTGAAAAATGTTCATAAGAAAAAAAAATGGAAGAGAAAGCGTTTGTTAGATAATGTAAAAGATATTTTGTCAATGCATAATGCATTGTATAATTTACTGAATACATTCATAATCGACAAGAATACGTTGTCAGTAGAAAATGTTCTGAACCGCTTCATTAACTATTAAAATGATTTCTTTTGTGTTTTTATTTAGAAAGATAATAAATGGATTCATTCAAAATGAGATAGTTTTTTTTCATATTCTCTAGAAAATTGTTCATGACGTCATGATCTGTAACTGGCTTTTATCAGCATCTATTTCCAACCCTGAGAATTTATCTGTTAATATAGAGAAGTTTCTGTTTTCCGTACGCTAATAAAAACAACAAAAATAAATTATAAGTGATACTTGTATAGTTAGATCAATAATATCACTATGATAGACACTATAATAACTTACACTAGATAGAGAATGAAATAAAAGAAACGAACACTGAACTATGTGATCATAAGTCATATGATTGATATAGCTAAAGATATTTGTCATAACTATGAATGTTAATTTATCTTAATGATTCTTTAAACTCAATGATAAAGGCGAATAAATCGTTTTGTTTCTTCATAAAGTAAGGAAAAATATGAAGCTAATTGACGAAAAATGAAAAATTTTTTTAAATAGAGGAAATGCATTAAATACTAATTTTATTTCATAAAGATTACATTGACATCTCAATCATAATCATTTTTCTACTGAATATAAATCGAAACAAGTAATTAAAATAAAAGGTTAGATGACATATCATTTTCTCAATAGTTTTTTCTAATCTACTGTTTTGTTCAATTTATATTGTATTTTTGTTTTTAATTATAGTTGGCCAATTAATCTAGTAGATAACATATTTGCTTTGAAACAGACAATCCTGAGTTCGAATATCCAAGAACATAGAGAATAAATAAATAAATTCACCAAAATGAATACCAGTTTCATTGACAGTTTTGTTCGGTTACCATAAAAAGGGTTAATTAAACTTCTTCGTTCGCTATACATAAATACTAACTGAGTAAAATACAGGTTCAAGCCATTTTTTGATTGTTTTCCTATATTATTTATGTACTTATTCATCCTAGATTTTTTCTTCATTTATAGATGTATGTTTTAAGATGTACAATGCAATATTTATCTTCAACTCGGTCAAATTTGTAGAAATACTCTTTGAGATTTTAAGAATTTTGCTCATCTATGTAGCTTTTTTTCAATTTGGTATTAGCCATTGATATATAGTTGTGGTTTGATTTTCATATATCTTCTTTATATACGCCCAAAAAAATCTGTATTCATATCTGCTGATTAGTCTTGGATTTTTTTAAATGCCGGCCATCATTTTTCGAATAATTTTCCATCGTTTATACCTATCCTAGTCGAAATGCATAGGGCATCTTGTAAATGTTGATTTTATAATTATGTGGATTGATTTATTATTTTTCTTAGGAAAATATTTCTACAAGGCTGAAAATTCATTAGAATGATAATAATACAAGAAGGAAGCGATAATAGCACATATCATTATAGAACTTTTATCTACACAACTAATTCTATCAATTAGCACTATCTTTCATATCATTTTACTCTATTTTGGTCATCTGTTATATACTGTTTATCATTGTGTTTGAGAGTGTGACACTTGGATATGAAGATTTGCAGTTTTTTTTCATGTTCACTCACACCTGCATTCTTTTGTTATTGGAACTGAAGCCGAGAGATTTTTCTGGTATTGCATATGACTAAACATTACCAACTTTTACTAACATATGCAAGATAGTTTAGTGTTGAAGAACTTCAATTAGACCTATAGCATTTAACCTGAAGATTGGATAATTAGTATTTCAATGAAATACAAGTAAGAACTGAGTTTGAAAACGAATGTGTCACATCCAATAAATCCTAATTTACTATAAAATAACTGTAGATTTGATTGTATACAAATCTTCAATAACCACTCATTGTTAATTTGTCATAGATTTTTTCTTCGAATGTAGAAACCGAAGAGTTTTAATAGTATTAACCGATTATGAAACTGAGCAGTTAACTATGCACGAGAGTCAAGCTTCCGAGACATCTAATAGAGTTGTGAGAGAAATCAATACTTGAACGATAGTATTTCCTAGTTCAATGCCAGTCCAATATTCTAGTCAAAAATAGTTGAGATACTTGCAAGAAAGTAACATACGAACCTTTTCAACTGCGGCTTTTCGAAGTGATTAAATATTGATGAAGTTCACTTTTTTAAAATAGAGTCAAAGTATAAAAAATATTGATTTTTTCACAATATTCTACTTGCGTGAAATGAGAAAACATAATCTGTTTGTATGGTTTTTGTTTTCAAATATTGAAAAAAGAATCAAATAAGTAGTTAATTTAACGATAAGAATAAATAAAATTGATAGAAAAAATTATTAGAGATCAAAAGAAAACTAAAGAAAAAAAAATCTATGCTATCATACAAGATAGGTCTTATTAATTCATTCTAGACTGTTCACATTCATTTCGTACATAGTACAGCTCGATTTCATTGATCAAATAGTTTGTATACAATTTTCAGTATATTTTATATAGAGTTTATTAAAGCATATATATTTAAGACGAAAGACAAGGTTTAGATAAAAACTGGTTCAGTAGCAAATAAAAAAGCAATAAATTAAAGGTAAAAAATAGTTAAACGTGGAGAAAAGTAAGTGCAGTAAAAAGAAACATGATTATAGAAAAAAACACTAGACAAAGACGATCGATAACCATTGCCACGAATTGCCAATCTTGAGATTCATTATCATCTTTCTCTTTTTGTCGAGAATAATTAATAAGAATAGCAAGTTGAGAAATAATAACACGTAGCTCAGAATGAGCTGTATCCATATCACATGTGTATAATTCATTAGATGTTTTCTGATGATAATCAGGACCATGAATTTCCGCTGCTCGAGGTACAGCAGATTCTAATATCGAATCTAAGTGTTGTTTTTCTTGATTTTCTAAAGGTTTCTTGTCGATATTTATAACATTGGTTGATAACAACTCGAATGTATTATCGAATAATGGTTCAGAAGGAATCTTAGTTTGATGATTATCAATCGTTCCAAGTAAATTATCCGATTCTTGTTTTGGAGAAGCCCATCGACGACGAATCGAACGCCAAGTCAAATCATGATTAGGACGCTTCATATGTAATAGCCACGCCAAATAGTTACAAATATACTTACGAACCTAAAAGGATTTTTAAAGTCATGTGATTTATACATTTTGAAATATGATTTACCCATGATGGCATTGCATAATTACTAGGGCTTCGATGATGAAGAGATAGTATTAATACTGATGCAACAACTGAAACTGCTGTCATGATCATAACACACATGAAATAAACAGTAATAATCGGTATAGCAGTTGAACTTGATGGCAGAATTTCTGATAGAAGTAAACTGAACATAATAACACTTAGAAGAATTGTAATTTCTGAAGATTTAAAATGTATAAAAACACATTTTTTATCATCAAATTCTAACTCACGCAAGGTTAATTTTTCACCACTATCCGGTGATAATAAAAATCCAAGTATTGTCATACAACTGATAAGAAAACAAGGTACTATGAAACGAAAAAACAATAATATTAATGTTAAGATTAGAAAGAAATATTGTAATTTCTATTTTATTACCGACGATATTTGTAAAGTAATAAAGAGAACGTCGACGCATTCGAATAGTGTATAGTACGTATGGGTACACATTCGGACAACAATCATATTTGGTGCCATTATTCGTCGCAGAGAAATCTAAAACAGAGTGAATAGAATATAATGCACATAACTCATATCAACTACCTTCTAAATACCATTCGGCATTTTCGACATATGCATCTACTTGACCTTGACTACTTTCTGCCGTCAGATTGACTCCTAAGTAATAAAAAAAAAGCATATAATATGCAGAAACATTTTGGCATCTCATCCTAGAAAAAATGATTCAATCACATACCGGCATCATCATATGACCAAGTTCCAAATTTCAACGTACAATATTGTGTATCCAAAAAAAGGCAAATATTCAAGATAAAAGTACGATATGACTGACCTATTTTTTTGTACTTACAAATGGAAACGAGGCAATATTAAATGGACAAATTGATTTGAATAATACTGGTGGAACATATAGTATTTCACCATCATATTGCACAACGGCATTGACTTTCGTTGTAGTATCAAACTTGTCATCGACACTGAAAAAAAAAAGGCATAATTTTTCAAGATGTCTATTCTTTGAAAAATAATAACGTGGTGTATAGAAAAATGTCTGGTGTCCAAATTTGTGTACTTGGTATTCTTAATGTTTGAATATTACCAAACTGTTCTGGTTTCCATCTTAAACTATAATCATTCCATTTCTATACAAATAAATATGAACGATAAGAGCAAATATTATAGCTGAGCATGCGATGATGACGATAAACGGCCTCCCGGTTCATCGGGCTAATAATAATTTATACCGATCCATATCGGCTTAGGATGTAATCAGTTTTTTTAAGTTTTCAGCTGGATTCTTTTGGTCAGAAAAAGGGTTCTTTACGAAAAAAAACGCTTCTTTTTTATCAAGTTGGACCAAAGGCAATTAGAGTGGAGCAATTTGAATCTGTCATTGATTTCTCGAAGTTAGATGCTTAATTTTTTGCAGACATTTTGTTTTTCAAAAAAAGTGTTGTTCAGTAAAAAGAAATGATTCGTTTACAAAAAAAAGAAAATCTATCTTTGACTAAAAAATAATTTTTAGTAGAACAATAATTTTTGTTTATAGAAATATAATTTTTCGTAAAAGAAGCTTTTTGCAAAAACAATCAAACTCAGAACTTCGCAAAAATACAAGTACATCCTAAGCCAGTATAGACGAGTATTTGTCTCACTATCATCGTTGCATCCCTAATTATAACTAAGCATACATACGATAGTCATCCAACCACTAATAACAATGGCTTCGTTCTTTCCATCCTATTTATATTGTCAAGATTGAAGAAAACATGTGTTTTTAATCTCACTTACAAAATTAATGATTTGTTGTAAAGCCAAATTTATAGTGATAGGTAATGTATCAGAATCATTTTGAACAGGTCTTGCAATTGGTCTATATCGATTATCAGTTAATAGATAGTTTAACAAACGCAGTTGATTAGAACCTCCAGCTAATATCTGTCATGTTTTTGTTTTCGAAAAAATTCATCAACTTACCTATGCAATTGCAACAGTAACATATGATTAGCAGAAATAATTTTAAGTGGGGTTGAATTATATATAACATTGTCTTTGAAACGAAAAAGATAAGATATAGAATTTTTTATTTGACAAAATTTTTTCACTAATACAAAAAGGTTAAAATGTCGACGAAAGAATGCAATAGTAGAATTTATCTGGTCTACAATTTTGCTATTTCGAACAGTATTTCTAACATTTTCAATGAAAGTTTCATCTTCGAATCTTATAGTCTCTTCGAATATATAATATCTATACAGCTACAATATTTCTGTATTACATACAATAAATCAAGTTTTTATAGTATCAACTATTCATTTTTTATTAATGATTTCGATAATCATCTAAATCAATAATGACAATAGTTCATACCTATTACGACTAATGATAAATAATGATGAGAAAAAAACCTACTAATTATGAAACGACATAAGCGTTAACTTCATGTGCAAAAACAAGGAAATGATGGTTGTCGAATATTATTCGCAAGTAAATATAAGTGTATGGGCAATTCTATTCCGTTGTTTAAATAAAGAACGAAGAAGAAAGATAAAAATTTAGTAATTGAGAGACGAAAGAAAGATAAACATGAAATAATTAAGAGATAAAAGAATGATGGATATTAAAAAATCAAAAAACGGCTTACTCATCACCTTGTCATGGTTGAGTGATGGAAGGTAAGAATAGAAAAAAAATTCGCATGTTATGATAAAAATAATAATGCCTAGATAAAATGATAGTCCTTCCCAAGTTTTCTTACAATTCATTGAGTTTCATGTTTGATATGCAAAATTTTTAAAGTAATCGGATAGCCATCAAACATAATACATCGTTTTATTTCGACATGTGATTTATTAGACAGCATTTGCAAATGACTGTTGCAATTACTAGTATGTAGCAAGTGCAAGAGAACAGTATTCCTTTGGCACTTACCCACCGTTAATTGACAGTGTCAATGTAGCTGATGCTTTTTTTTTAGAAAATAATACTCCACGTGCTAATTGATTTATACATCTATGTGACATATTTATCTTCTCGTAATAGAGAATGTTCCACTTAATAAGGAAAATTTCTCTTACCAAAAACTAATTAAAAACGATCTCGATAACAGTAACCTAGATGTAATTAGTAAGAGATTTAGAAACAATGAATTACAGTCAATGACAATTAAGATTATATTCTTTGATTTTTTTTCAATTTTTATTAATATAAGTTGTTTTATTTATTCACCTGCTACATATATATATATATAAAGAAAGCCAAGACCGCACTGCTTTTTTTTTAAGTATTTACATTGAACATCAAATGCAGTTTAAAATGTAAAAAAGTGTAATAGAAGAAAAGTGACATTTGCTTTTGCTACAATATCAAGATGTCCATAACGTTGTAACATATTTTATTTCGCATATATCTTGGATTAGATAAACGAGACAACCTTGAATCTTTTTTTTGTCAAAAGATGTGCCGTGAAAAGCTCTACAAAAGTTGTACGATCCACTTTCTTTTCACCTATTCTAATGATTTTTATATGGTCAAAAATGAACAAGTTACATGGCAGTGTCGCTTCTCATTATATAATAAATATATTGAGGCCTTTTCTGATTCACTATAGGATCTGTTCTATATAAATTTTGTAGAGCTTTTTACGGCACATCTTTTGAAAAAAAGATCCAAGGTTTTGTCATTTATCTAAGCCGAGATATATGCGAAATAAAAAATGTTGCAACATTATGGACATCGGATATTGTAGTAAAAACGAATGTCACTTTTTCTTCTAATACATTTTAAACTGCATTTGATGTAGCGCGTTCTGGGCTTTCACTTTATATATAGCAGGTTAATAAACAAAAAAAAAATATAGTAATGACCCCCCCCCCCCCCCAAAAAGCAACTTTCCGTCAGAATAATCGAAACTAAGATAGCTGCAAGGAAAAACAGCTCATGGTCTGTTCTCCCATGAACGACAACAATTTTTATTCTGCACGTCTTTTTTTTTCTCAGTTCATGATATGTCGAACGCACAGCCTAAATTTCTTAGTCTGTGTCTATGTGATATATTTAAATTTTTTTTTATTTGAAAGAGCATGTCAAGATGCAGTGCAGTATAGAGTTTTTTTTCGATTAAGCAGTATTTTATTATACATACAGACACTTATATAACTCGACACCCATTTTTTAAGTATTTTTTGAGTCATTAAACTTTCCATCTGTTTTCTTCTCTTAAAATGTAAAGATTTACATAAAGAGCTCTGTACTGCACTGCATCCTGACATGTTCTTTCAAACAAAAAAAATATCTTTATAATGAATCTGGACAGAGAAATTTAGTTTGCTAAATAAGCTATTTTTGACCCTTGTTTGGTCAATATCTCTTTGAAGCATCATGATATCGGATTGAAAGTATTTTTGAGTGAAGATCTTAATTTAACATTTGTATTATGATAAACATTGAATTAGATAGTTCAACTTAAAACTTACATTTACTATTTTCTTCGAAAAGTTTTGTGAGTTCAACAAAACAAAATATTGAGGAGACATAATTTCAATTGTCTTGAACTGTATATAAAAACAAATTTGTCAGATAAATATTATATACGAGTGATTCCACTGTATCTCTGACACTTTATACACGACTTTCCTCAAATCGATTTTCATGTTTGAAATTATCTGTCGCAGATACAATGAAATTATTCAGATACATAATATAATGATACATTGATGATGATTAGCATTGTGAATAACATAATTAAGAGATAAAGCAGATTAATCTTTTGATTTTTGATTAATCTATTTTTCTCAAGTTGGATTCGATGAGAATTTCACTTTGATTTTATTAATATATTTTTATTTTGAAAAAAAAACATGTACTCAACAATAGATTCATTACAACTATTAGATGACACTAAAAATAGTATTATTCAGTGTTTTACTAGAATTGAATGTTGTTTTGACCTTTTCATAATATTTTCTAATAGTATTGAAGTGTTCCATCGTCAAGTAAAGAAAAAACAGTTCTCTTTCATATACCAAGCGAAAATATCAGTCAAACATATATTGCTTGAGAAATTATCTGTCAATTATGCCTAATTATCAAATTTCAGTGTCTTCTTGTATCAAAGAAAATATCTTAACTCAATGATTAAGTTAGAAAGTAGGTTAGCTCTTATCAGTAAGAACATTTTATAGTGTCTGACACTCTGTCTCCATTGACACGAATAGAATATTTTTTTGTAAGCCCAAATCTGAAAAAAGCTATTGATAAACAAGAGTATACATCCGTTGATAGATGACTTCTTTATTTTTTTTTTCTTTGTACATTTCGAAGAAAACATAATTAAGATCATTATTGTACTAGACACACCAGAAAAGTTTACATCAGTAAAAATTTTGAAAATTCTAACTAAACAAAACATGATCATTTATATATTTCGAATAATTCCGTTCAATATTATTGTATTTTGTCACATTCAATACTCTTAATAGTACATAAGTTGAATATAGATGTATTTTATGTTGAATAGAAATGTATCCATAAAATGAGCGGTAAATTTTCGATCGTTTCACATCTCTAAACTCAAATATTTAGTATGTGGTATGTTTTTGTATAATCAATTACATATAATTAAGATCTGTTTCATATAAATCCTATGATAAGGTCTCATTCTGAAATAACTGCGTGATATATAAATTGAAATTATTAAATCCTGAGATATGTTTTTGTATGAAGTTTAAAAATAAGCAAATTTTATGTTTGCCAAATAAAACTTATTTATCATATTAGACATCACAAAAACAATAGTTGCATACTAACGAACAAGCACGTCTAGAGTTAGAAACTTCCAACAAAGATAGGGAACAAAAAGACTATTGATGCTTAATAAAAATATTCAGCAATGTTGGAAAATACCCAACTGAAGAAGAACATCAAAGAAAAAGCCCACCCCTTATTGGAATAAACCATGAGAAAAAATTGCATAAAAGAGAAAGAATAGCACACACAGACAGTCACATGTACCTGTAAAATTGCAGTCCATTACTGTTATCGTGTTAAAAAAATTGAGAGAATAGAAGAACGAAAAGAAAAAAAAGTAGAGTAACGACAGTAACTTCAACTTATTTGTGTAGTCATTTCTATTCAAAACATGACAAGTGACAGCATTAACAATTTAACCGACGACTTCATTATTGTATGGTTAGATAATGGTATTGAAAGGACCAAAGGTAATCGAGATACAAAACTATTCATACAACAATTGGTTAGGCATCGTTTATTAACATTTGATGATCCGGATAAATGTATTGATGATATAACTGATGAGCCGACAACAAAACGAATATTTCTGATTGTTTCAAACACATTTGGTCAACATGTCGTACCACTTATATATGAAATTCCACATATACAAGCGATATATATATATTGTGGTAATTTACAATTAGCTGAAACATGGACTAAACCTTATTCAAAAGTTTCTGGTATATTTACAAAAAGACCAGCACTATTAAATAAAATTCGTAATGATATTGGTGTATGTGACACAGATGAAGATTTATCAATGAGTGTATTTCATCTTGCTGAACGAGAAAATACATTACAGGAATTAACTAAAGAAAGTGCAAGCTTTATGTGGTATCGATCAATAATGATTGTTCTTCGATTAATGGCAAAATATGGTAATGCAAAAACTGAAATGATTGCTGAATGTCGAACAACTTATCATGATAATGAATTCGTAAAAAATAATATAGATAATTTTGAAAAAACTTACTCTCCAACAAAAGCATTTGAATGGTATACAAAAGATAGTTTTGTATATCGATTATTAAACAAAGCTTTACGTACACAAGATACAGATATTATATTTAAATTTCGATTTTTCGTTAATGATCTTCATAATCAAATCGAAAAACTTTATTACCAATATTTAGATAGTCAATCTTCTATTAT